TACTGCTGTGAGGGTAGTCATGGTATATTCCCAACTAAGTGAACAGTGTATGAGGAATGGCAAAGGAGAGCTATGGTACATGTATCTTCGAGAGCAAGGAGGGCTTGGCGAGGCGCACATTGAGGTGTTAGTGTGTATCTCACATAGGTAGATACAGGGGACAAACATACTGAAACTCTTGTTACAGGCAAGAAAGATACATGACATTGCACTAGTCACTCATGGACATGCATCCCCTACCTGGATGTGCCGATTTCGTGGGCTTGCCATCTGGGCCGGATTTCTGCAGCAACAAAGGACATGATATTTACATAGGGTTGTTTATACCAGGTTCAAGGTCATCTCATTTACAGCAACTAAAACATCCACCTCCCTACAATTGCTACAGTCGTAACCAAAGAAATCCGACTCACGTACTGACAGCAATGGCAAGGCTCATGTGGCCCTCGAGGCCCTAGGATCGTCGGTGTTTGCACCGTGCGTGATCTAATTGAAATGGAAACGCGGGGCTACATTTGAATCGCAGAGGACAGAGATGGCGCTCCGTAAGTCTCACCCGGGTTCACCGCCCCTCGCAAACGCGGCGGAAACGTCAGACAACACGTCGTACTGCCGCAGACCACAACAACACAACATTGGCGCCCGACTATTGCTAGAACCACGACCCTGAGATCATCGTCATGCTCAGTATTCTCGTCTCCAACCTCGTCTCGTCGGCAGTAATCCTCGTCTCGTCGGCAGTAATCCTTGTCTCGTCTCCAACCTCGTCTTGTCGTCAGTAATCCTCGTCTCGTCGTCAGTAATCCTCGGCTCGTCTATGTCAGCCTCGTCTCGTCCATGTCAACCTCGTCTCGTACTCATGCAGGCCATCTATTTTCATTATTAATTTCCTCTCCTTCTTTTTATCCATCCTTCTTCTTCGTCAAATTTATTTTCGGTTATATACTTTGGCCGTTGGCAATTTCTACGCTACCATGAGTGATGCGTAAAGACTAAATACTTTAGGGTACAGGAACGTGATAACTTTAGTACATAATTAGTATAACACTTTTGTGACATCCGTGCGTTGTGTGTGTGTGTTTTTTCTCTACTTCCTCAGTCATTTTTTCTCGTAGTCTTATTATTTCCCGCGAGGTCGTGTTTTTTTTGTTTTGCTTTGCGTTGGGGAGGTATGTTAGGCTGTGTTTACATGAGAAATTTCAACCCGGGTCGAGTTCAGCCCGGGTTGAAAGTCTGTACGATAGACAAAATAGGGGAGCGTTTACATGAAGACAGTTGACCCGGGTCAAATACTGATATGCCGCCAAAAGCCCACTTCTAGAGTCCTGCATGGTCACGTGAATCCGTTCGCGCGAAATTTGCATGTGCAGTGCTGTTCAAACCTGGCGCGAGATACGCACAGAAGTACGTTTGTACGATTTTCTTGACCCGGGTTGAAATCAACCCGGGGCGAAAATTCAACCCGGGGCGAGCGCAATGCGTCATGTAAACGCGCCATTCATTTTGTGTGCATGGTGGGTTGAAATCTGACCCGGGTCGAACTCAACCCGGGTTGAAACGCCTCATGTAAACACAGCCTTAGGTACCTCTTTCCGTACGTTGTACAACCTTTTCCGAGCTGACCTGCATGCACCCTCGTACTCACCTTTTGTCACCCTTTGTTCCGTTGGCCTGGGTAGCTACTTGCGCGCCCATATTTGCCATAGCTACCCAGGCCCTTTATCTTGCTGCCCTCACTTCATCTTTCTCTCTTGTCTCTCTCTTCCACAATGTAGGCGTTTGATTCGTCTTTGTCTGAGTCTCCTATACTTAATGCCGTCCCATCAAACTGTTCCCGTTGTCCGTTGTGAGTGGAGAGTATGACGTCTTCCTGTTGGAACTCAACAAAAGTTTACTTGTGAAGCATTTTCAAAATACTGGTGTTGAAGGACGTACTCTTTCTTAGTGTTCAAAACATACTTCAAGTACTGAATTACACAATACAAGAAAGCAACACCCTAGTCACTGCTACACAAAAGACTAGAACCAGCAATGCAGGTGCAGGTGCCCCAGCCTAAACCAAAGTAAAAGAGCTTGCGGGGGCTTCTGAACCAGCAGACACTCTATAGGTCTGACGGTGTACATAACGGTTACTTTCTCACTGGCGCTCAAGGAGCAGAAACTGTTGTCACAGCAGTTCGACCTTGTCTGCAGCAATGGCAAATATGACAATCCCAGACAGATGCCAGTAGAAATCACCTAAAACGCCCTTCAAAAATGACAGTACCGTAAAGTACCGTTGATCCCCCCCCCCCCCCCCCACGCCATGTCGCTTCCCAGCTGGGTTTTTCGGCAGGGGGCGGGAATTAGATCAAGGCTGTCAAGTGCAGTACGATGTACAACAACGTGGAAGTACAGACTCGATGTGCTGGATTGTGCACATTTTCATCCTGGACTGGCAAGTATTGTGTACAGCAGTGCATGCGTCGGTTCAACATTGTATTTTGCTGCACACGCCAAAGTCGCTTCACAGGCAGAAAATCGACAGGGGGCGGCAATTAGAGAGGGGGCGGATCAATGGTACTTTACGGTATTTGCGGGTGTATCGACCAATGCCAGAAGGTTCAGCACAGCTGAGTCTTCACCGTACATTTTCAGTGTATTGTCTTGTCTGAACTGGCACGTAGCCGTACTTGCTGCAGCACGCTTTGTTCACAGATCAAATAGTGACCACTGCACTGAAAGCAGTGGGTTTAACTCATTGTTGATCTCTCAGATTGGCATTTGCCTATGAGGGCCTGACTGGTCTGGCAGTATCTGAAATTATTCAGTGTTGTGAGCTTCTCACCACACCAAGTTGGGCATCACTATTACTGCTGGTGTTGCCACTGCCTCCTGCTACTAGTACTATTGTACTAGCTTAGTAAGCATTGTCACTGTCTGCATGGTGCCCGTTGACCAGTGTACACTTGTGGACTGGCTCATACCTCAGCAACGTACTGTAGCAGAGGCTGGACTCCTGTGCAGAAACTAATAAGTAATAACTGATGAATATTGAATAGATTGCGATCCTAGTTTACTGCTACTTATTCATCTTCACAAACGAACTATTTCACCCTCTTGCGTCGCTGCACCGTTTGTACAGTTTGCTCTCAATAAGGGTGCGGTTGGTTGGTACGATCTAGAACAGGATCGAACAGCTGGTGCACATGGAGCAGCCGCATGCCAACCAAACGGTACTCCAGAAACAGAGCACATTTTTGTGAAAAAATGTGCCAAACTTGGGGCATGATCGATTGGGCGAATCCAGAGCAAGTGTGCTCAGAGTGAGCGTGATCGTTTGGTCGAATCCGGAGTAGGTGTACTTGGAGTGGAATCCGACCACACCGGGAGTGGCTGGAGTGGAAATGGACTTTGCCGTTTTCGGACAGCTTTCACAGAATCTTTGTACGATATGCGTACATTTTGCGTACTACACCCTTGTTTTGTGCGATTGGGCCAGCGTTGCTCGGACCACACCGCCTGCTCGCACTCAATCCAGATTCGCCAATCGATGACACCCTTGGTGCATTCTTCATAAGGTGTATGGGTCACCATGGTCACTTTGTACGGTACAACGAGTCCAACCCAAAAAGCGTATGCACGTGATCATTTGGGACGAAAATCAATGTTCTCGCCAGGTTTCACTGTAAAAAAGTCAAACTGCTCGGTCTGTTCCGGCCTCGAGGCCGGAGCAAGCAGAACATGTTCTGGCCGACCCAGAACAGGTGCAGTCCCAACCAAACGCGCTGTTCTGGTGAATCCTGTTCTAGTTCGTACCAACCAAACGCGCCCTAAGTTCCACATCCAGTGCAGTGGAAAGTTGGTGTGTCTTACACATTCTGTATACATACAAACAAGTGCATGCTGTCACCACTTTTGCAACAGTGTGTATCTTATCGCGAGTAGACTGAAATAGCCATTTTTTTTATATTCTCAGTTTTACTACGGACTAGATTTTCTAGCCCCCTGTAAAAAATAAATTTCCTTGAAAAACTCAATGCCACTAAACGTGACTTCAACACATCAAAATTAGCAAGACCTCTACCATGTATCGTTGCCACAGCACAGAACATGGGGTACACGGCTATCATGGGGTACACGGCTATCATTTCATGGATATGAATACATCGTAGCCTACACTTCTTTACTACTACATTGTACTAGGTACTAGGTACAAGTGACGAGTGAAACACTGTGTGTATGATTTCCCAAGGCCAAAAAGAACTTTTCCTGCACGCCCAGTAGTTTTCTTTATCCGGGAAACGTAAATGAAATCACCTACGCCCATAGCAGAAATGCAGAAATACATCTCCTAGGGATTGCAGGGGAGTAATACTCGGGTACAGTGCTATCAAGGACTTAATCAGCACAAATTCAGCTGAAAACTACAGACAAAATATGCCAGCGAAGCCAGAAAACTAACCTTCAATGTGTAAATGCGCTTGCCAGCATCGTCCATATAATACATCAAATGCATGGTGGCGGGCTTCCCTTTCGGTGCTGAAAACTTCCAGGTGGGTACAGTTCCCTTCAAGAAAGAACTCCGACACAACTCCGACCCTTGAACATCCAACAAACAGTTCGCAAAGCGAAAGGATCAGAGGATGGCCGTACACGTGGAGCGCAAGTGATCACAATGTTCGTCTTCATGACAACGGCGTAGATCTACTTGGTGTGACGTTTTTTTCTTCTTTTTCCGAAGCCTCTTCAATTCAGGCTCTTGTACGGGCAAAATTAAAGGGGAACTCCACGAAAAAATGAAAATTTGATAGCCTGTAGAGTTTCGGGCGCTGAGTCGAATGGTCTTGGTCCGAAGTCTCTACGAGAAAGCGTTCTTGAGATATTTCAATTTTAGCCACGCCCCATATGGCCATACCAATGTATGTGTGACGTCATTGTGGCATGGTGCGAAAAATACTTGGATTTTGAATCTCACTTTCTTCAGGACGAAAGTCAATTCAGAAAGTAGTTTGCCAAGTCGCCCGAGCCGCTGCAATGCCAAATTGTTGTGTTGTTGGTTGTGCCAGTATCATATCATCCTCCTGGGGTTAGTTTTCTCAGATTCCCAAAGGATGGAGACCTGGCAAAGCGCCGAGATGTTGCAATGCGTCGTGACAATTTCAAGCCTATTTTCGCAGCACGAGCAATGTTTGCTCGCTGCATTTATAATCCAGAGGGACTTGAGAGCTGCGTTTTGACGAGTACGCCGTCCAGGAAAGCCCTCATCAGTGTACCAGTGCCCTCCGAACCGTGAGCCTCCAGCAAAGCGAACTCAACAAGCTGCAACTGAGAAAGCAGGGCGAGATACGTTCCATCAGGATCAGAAGAGTACATCACCCCATCAACTCCGACTGCAGCTAGCTGATGAACGATATTACCCCAGTAACTTTGCGCATACCAGTACTCAAACTGTGCACATCTGTCATCAACTGGGACGCAAACAGACAGATCCCCAGCAAGTACGAAGGTTACAGAACTGTTTGCTTGCGATGTGCAGGCAGCATGCACGACGAACTGTCCCACCAATCCTGCCAAACTGAACCAGTGTAAGTTGATTGCGTGGATATGTCTCTATTTATAACAGCTACCCTACTTCTAGGCATGGTTGCATGAATACCATATCACTCAGAGCAGTTGTTAGAAGTCTGGACAGCCTAGGAATAGTGCAAGTAAAGTGAAACAAAAATTTATTACACTCCGAGTTCCACGCTTGCGGGATCACCAGGCCAAAAAATCTAATTTCGAACAAGGAATGGGTTCTGGTTGTATGCGAAAGAAAAGTAAGTGAAGACCTATTGTGCAAGGAATACAGTGGGAACTACACATATTATACACATGCACTCACACCTTCACCCACATGCGTGCGCGCGCGTGCACACACACAAACACAACAACACACACACATACGCACCCACATACTCAATCGCACGCACGCTAGCCTAAGGATAGTACATACCGTATATTCTCTATTATAAGCACAGGTCTCCATTACTAGCACAGTCTCTAATACTAGCACACTGTGAGCACCTTTCGAAACATAAGCACAGTCTCTAGTATTAGCACGGTCTTGGTGGAAATCAATGCTGCATGCATGATATCTAGCATGTATTTCTTCTTGCTCTGTATGGATTGTATTGGTTGAAAAAATATAAGCGCAGTCTCCAATATAAGCGCGGTCTCCAATATAAGCACGGGGTAGAGGGGTGTTGAAAAAATATAAGCACGGCGCTTATATTAGAGAATATACGGTATGCTGTAGTAGTGGTGTACTTAGTGAAATGACTATGTGTACATCTAATGACGCCGCCACTCCACGCCAGAAGACAACAAACATCTGCTGAACATTTTTGCTCCCGTCTCTTATGGGCAACACAGGGAATGAAACGAACAATGCAATTGAGAACAAGAGTCGTCCTGTACGGTGAAGTTTCCATTTTCTCATACAGCAGTATATTGTCTAAGCAAGTGTGTTTTCTCCACATTCTTTTTGCCATGCAGGTATATCACAGTGTCATGCCAAACTACATTCTCAAACGCATTCGTTTCTCAATTCTGGGGATGATTGGACACGCACATCTCGCAGCTCTTGACGACGTCAATGTCAACCGTCGCCACAGCACAACCAAAAAGACCGCGATAGGAAGGTATAAAGTCCAGTTCTCAAAGCATAAAGAAGACTGTGGCCAAATAGAAAATTATACGACAGAAAGAGCTATGAGTATGTTGACAAGCTCATGTGTGAGGTGGTAGCGGTTGCAAATGGCAACCTCAATGTTCCTGCCTTGGAGAAGCGTGTTTCCCTGCCAAATTCCAGGTGGAAGCCTCCTGAGAAGGTTGAGGTGGTGCAGGATTTGGATATCTTTGCCTGATGGTATTCACAACGCAGGCTGGAAGACGACAACCAACGTGCTTGCCCAATTTGCCGTGTACATAGTGTGTACTGCCTGTGTGCCGCATGGCGTAGAGATCTACACAAACACAGAATGTCATATGGAATGTGTATGATGAGTGCTTGTACACATACCACATTGCTGTACCGTAATAATTATTATAGTCAAATACTCATTTACTCTACATATGCGCTGTATTGCACCTACCGGTACCTACCTGCACTTTCAGTGCGCGCGCCATACTAATTTAGTGTCCACTGGTACAAAGATGGAGGGTCTTGTAGAACTTACCATAATTGCTGATTTCAAATTGAATTCCAATGATCTGGGGGATGAATACTGATTAGGACGCGTTCGATTACCTACTAGTACAGAGATGTCTTGGTCAGAAAGTGCAGATTTCTTACTCTCCTGCCAGAATTTGTGCATTATTTTGGTGTACGCTTTCTTGACCCCACGCTTGTACGTTGCATGCCATGGTATACTAGAGAACGAGTTTATTGACAAAGTCTTATCGCTTGAAATGATAAAGTATGGGTTCGGGTGTGATCAAATGCACCCATGGTGCTCATAAACTGTGTGCAGTGCTCTCTTCACCAACAGAACACTACCTACCATACTTTGCAGATCGTGTACCAATCCAAGGGAAAATGACAAAGACAAACGTGAGTCATGCATGAAAACTTGTGATAGCACTATAGTACAGAACAACGTTGTTCGTGCTATGCCTGACAACAATAAGTTACACACAAAACATTACGGCCATCGATCCTCACAAGATAAGTCAAGACATACTCGGAGCAAAGAGAAATTTGTTTGTGTCATGCATGAAACTTGTGATAACTACCAGTACAATGTCTTTCTTGTGCGACGCCTACTGTATACATGTAGTGCGCCTGACAACAATAAATTTCCCCCCAAAAATAAGAATAAGTGTATCATGCTGATACGCGATCCTCACAAGACAAGTCAAGGCAAACTAATTGAGGCTTACCTAATGTCAGACTCTTCTGTCACTGGCATTGGCGGCTTCTGCATGTCGAGATAACCTCGAAGAGCAGTGATGGGCACAGCCTAATGCAAGGATACGATCTCGTAATCTGCGAGGTCCGCTACGCAAGAAACCTTGGGCCGTCTTGTCGACAGCGACGGCAGCATCCTTCCAGCAAAATCATTCCCGCGGGCTGGGCATGGCTATACACTTTTGTCCACGCTCGCACCAGTCGGAGTCCCAAACGAATCGAGATTCTGGTGGCCAAGCTACTCGTCTTCTGTCGGACGCAGCTGCTGAAGCATCTTCTTCCTCAACATTTGTTACACGCGATGGCAGCTCCTCAGCAGAGTATCTGGGCTCCCTGCCCCAACCATACGCGGCGGTGGGCTGTTGGTCGTCCTCACTGGCCTCAGCATCGCTGCCTTCATTGCTGGGGACAGAGGATTGTTCGGAATCGCCCATCTTCCCTTGAAATACCAACTAAAATTAGTGCTTGTACTGTAGATTGGCGAAGAGAAACGACTTTGCCACAATGACGTAGGCAGCCCGTGATGATGTAACCAAATGGCCGCATGACGTCAGGGCGCGGCCCCCGTTTTTGCAATTTCAAAGTGAAATATCTCAAGAACGCTTCATCGTAGAGCTAGAGGCTTCGGACCAAGACGACTCAGCGCCCGAAACTCTACAGCCAGGCTATCAAAGTTTAGTTTCATTTTTTCGTGGAGTTCCCCTTTAATGGTGACGTCAGAGCGTAGACCACTCGCCGGATGCACCGTGCATGCACGATACTTGATAGTTTTGTATTGCATTGATTTATTTGAATTCCGCCCTACAGTGTAATGTACAACTTGGGAAGATCCGAATGGCATAGATACATAAACATAAAAGTGGAGTAGGTGCTACAGCTGATCATTTTATCGCAAGTAACTAGTTAGTTGTGGGACTAAACTAATACCAGTATGCAAGTACACAAGAAAAAAGCTGAATAAATACGACTGCATGACATTGGAGAAAAGCACCAATTAAAGCAATAGTTCGCGGTTGCACTACATGAGTTCGCCGACGCAAAGTTGACTGGTGAACAGCAGCTTTACACGGCCGTCTCTCTCTCTCTCTCTCTCTCTCTCTCTCTCTCTCTCTCTCTCTCTCTCTCTCTCTCTCCTCTCTCTCTCTCTCTCTCTCTCTCTCTCTCTCTCTCTCTCTCTCTCTCTCTCTCTCTCTCTCTCTCTCTCTCTCTCTCTCTCTCTCTCTCTCTCTCTCTCTCTCTCTCTCTCTCTCTCTCTCTCTCTCTCTCTCTGTCTCTCTGTCTCTCTGTCTCTCTGTCTCTCTGTCTCTCTCTCTCTCTCTCTCTCTCTCTCTCTCTCTGTCTCTCTCTCTCTCTCTCTCTCTCTCTCTCTCTCTCTCTCTCTCTCTCTCTCTCTCTCTCTCTCTCTCTCTCTCTCTCTCTCTCTCTCTCTCTCTCTCTCTCTCTCTCTCTCTCCGGAGTACTAGGTTCTAACAGTAGTAGCATTGGTTGACCGTGAAGAATAAAACAATACCGTGACAGCAAGTGACACCTGACTACTATTTTGAAGCCTTGTAGCCCCAGTACCATGCTGGAAAACTGAGAGACAGAGTACAGCTGTAATTCAGAATGCTCAGCTTTCCATTGGGACTTCGGAAGACTTGTCACAACTTCCGCTAGCTGGAACCACAGGAATAGCGAGGCCCGGCACCATACCGTACTGGTAATGCCAGAAGCTTCCGCTCCGAATATGATGCCTTACTCTTCATGCCACGAACAAATGCGGAATATGCGGCGTGGGGCTGTGTGAGCGAGACGTCGGCCAAGAGGTTCATCTCCTGCACCCAATTCACAATGTATCTATCAAGATGATCAGCAATGAAGGACGACAGGCCAACAGCACCTCCCAGGTACCTCACTCCACCAGTTCGTATGGCAATACCGGTACCGAACACATCAGTGGCCGCCTGCTCCGAGTCCAGTTTGACAAGAAGTGTCGTCTTTGAGGCATTGGGGAAATAACCATACTGAGGTCCAATGTCAGACAAAGCCAACCAGAACGTATGTGTATGCACACCACGCCGCATCATCCTACCACCAACCTCGGCATCCGATCTGCGTACCAGCACGGGCCAACATGGGTGGTCACTTGACAGGCGTTTGATCATGGGGCTAATGGCTAGTGCAAACAATGCCATGGCCAAGGTTCGCCCCGGCAAGTACCCTCTCGAGACAAGATCCTGCCACCGCCCGGTAGAAACAACGATATCGGAGTGCCACATGTGTTGCGGAAAATATTAGATACAGCAGGACATACACAAGGAATGCCGTGAAGCAGTGCCAGCAGCATACCCAGCAGACTCCTCCAAGGGAACAAGATGAGCCGCCACAAATGCAGACAGCATCTGAGGATCGACCACCTCCCTGCAGAGTCGCTTCGCTGCGGCAGCCAACGCTGATGCAAGGTTGGCTGATGCTCCCTTGAACATAGCGAGTAGTCTTTGCCAGGCAGCGACATCCAGTCTCGATGGGCCTCCCGACCCAGAACTCTTAATGCAGCCGGCTGTCTTTTTGATCTTTTCTGCTGAAATTGTTTGAACTTTCGAATATCACCTGGTTGGCAAGATCTGGCTCACAGTCTCGGTCCAACAGTATTCCCTCAGCCGGATCTACAGGAACAGGATGCTACCTTTGAAGCATGTCACAGACCGTCTCACCCGAGGATTCCACCAAAACATCATCGACCCGGAGAGGCCTGCCACACCGCCCCTCCGACAGAGCCTGACCCAGCCGACCACCATGCACAAGTTTGGCAAACACCATGTCCAACATCCCACTGTCTCCACCTCCACCAGCAGAGCCAGAGCGGGGGACTCGGAGGCAGGTGAGCCTGGCTGCAATGGGACTCCTCCAACAATGACTTCAAGTCACCAGCAGCCCGCATGTCTAAGTGCTGCTGCAGATGTTCTGTGTGTTTCCTGGCTTCTGCTGTGCGGCTCAGGCTGCTGAAGCAAGAGGTGACCAGCAATGGCTACAAAATCCCCAGCGAAACAGTCAGTTGGACCATCAGATGCAAGCGCATTTATGAAATTCGCGATAATGTTCATGAACCGCTTGCCTGTAGAACCAATGGGGGCCATAATAAGAATCCCCTGCCAGCACGCAACCTGTCCATTCGCAGTCCACATCCAATTGGTCAATTCTGTGTGCCGTGACCACAGAGAGGCGACTAGGGGAGCATCAGCAACCCTGGCAACAACACGGACAGCACCATCTACAGTCTGCACAGGGCATTCATGGTCGGCAGCAGCCATCACATTGACATTGTGATCTTCTCTGTCTCCACTGCCCACAGATCAGTCCCCGAATTCGGCAGTTCCAGCAGCCAAAGAAGACACCTGAGGAGACGAGAAACTGGGTTTGGTCGAACTACTTGCCCCCGAACACCGTGGGGCCGGCAAATCAACGCGCAAGGATTTTCCAATTTGAGTTGAAGATACTGCCACGGGTGCAGAGGCAGGAGCAGACACCTGAGTAACTTCTGTATTAGATGTGCCAATGCCCATCACGGGAAGACTGAGTCCTGGAAGTAACTTGGTGGACGCCCTACCACGCCGTAGCGAGGCACCCAGCCAGGGGAGCATCAGGCGGAACATCCAGCAGGGAACCTGCGCCAGCAGCATCAACACCAACATCAACAGCCGTGTTCTGCAGATCAATATTACCGAAATTGGTGCACTTTCCACCCCTCCCAGGATAACAGTTGGCACAACATCTCCCTGCCTGCGCACAGGAACAAGATTCGCAGGTACCGGTGGATTTGTTGCACGAACAGCAAGGGCGAGAAACACCAACCGGAGCGCGACCGCGAGCAGCGCAGAACCCACGAGGAAGGTGCGGGACCCATGCGCCGGACGTAGATCTACGCTGACACACCGAAGCCAGCTCACTAAGAACCCGAGGCCTGCACGCACAGACGCGCCACACCTGTCCGACTGACTGAAATGACGGGGTCCGGAGCAAGAAACCGTGCCCTGAGCTGAATCAAGGAACGGCGGGCTGAGTAACCCCAAGGGCCATCACGGAGAAAACTATTGGAGCCGACTCCAAATACCTCTAGCAACGTAATAAAGTATGTTTATAACCACTAGTGGGGTCTAAGCAAAGGAATAGAACGTCGGAGGACTGCAGAGGAGCAAAATCTCCATCCACACCGAAAACTGCTTTTTTTAGTAGTGACCCATGTGGATAGGATAGGGAGGCAGCCAGATCAGAGCGGATAGGCGGAAATCAGGGCTGCCAAAAATCGCGGTCAAATAATGATTGTAGTTCAAGCACGGTAGTACTAGTAGAACTTTGGCTCAGCTCAGCTCAGCGGGCCAGTGCAGAAGATGTGCGGTGCGTTGGCAACATATTTTGGCACTGCCCGCTTGCTAAGCTGCACCACCAAGCGTTCACACTGCATGGCCCGGGAATAGACACTCATGTACTTGTGTGGCGACGAACGAAGAGATTTAGTACAATGAACTTGGCCAAAGGAATTCCAAGGGATGTCCGATAGGCAAAGGTGCCAGCATAATTATTGGCACAATTATTATTTGGAGGTTGAAAATTTGGAGCATAATTTCGCATCCTTCGGAGGTACATGTAGGAGCATAACTACATCGTCATGATTGTACGACAGTTCTAGTATGCAGGCTACACAATTGTGTAAATCTACAATGCACCTGATCAGTGCTGGACTGCTGGTGGTCTGCATGGTAAAGAGTTTGGAGGTCATGCAGATAGTGTTTTCAATGAAAAGCAGGGTAGAAATCATGGAAATATGTTGCCTCGGTCTTTTACTCGGCTTTTATTCCCTATATTGACCTCGTACTCAGTCAATATTAGATTTATCACGACTAGCCAAAGCGCGAAAAAGGAGTCAATTATATGCAGTCAATATGGCTAAGGACTGAAAATATTTACATGTGATATGCAGGAATATTTGACTGCTTAGGTTACAATCTATGGGAGTCAATACTATTATTTTTATTTTGCTTGTTCGCGTTGGCATCAACCTGCATAAAACAGGTATAATAGCCTTCGCAAGCTGCCATAAAAAAGAAAGCTCATCCTAAGCGAGAGGGCTAGAGGAAAGTAGAACGATAACGAGATACAGAATACAAAGAAATCCAATGAGTTCAACATACAATTCAAAACAAGAAAGAAAGGAAAGAAAAACAGAGCCGAATCTACCGATTGATCCATCAATCGACAAAAGGGGACTAATCCGTTAATTAATGTTGCAAAGTAGAAGCTGATTGTACATGTAGTTGCAGATCTCCAGGCCAGGGCCAGCATATTGCCGATTCTGGATAAGTCTCCGCAGCATTTGATGTGGTAATTATCATAATGGTTGATAAAATTGTTAGAGTATCTAGTATCTAGTGTGTTAGAGTATCTAGTGTAATTGTATCCGTTATTATTGTTAAGAG